GGTCCCTCGGCTTTTCCCATTATTATTGCCTCTTTCCTTCCGAATTGGCTCTTTTTTGTACACCCGTTTTCGTCTTTTGCGCCTGGGCGCGCCGTAGCTTCCATCACGCCTCGGGTGACAGCATTTCTCTCTCTGCTCGTCTTCACTATCGTCGGCCAATGTCCAACAGACACCCGATTTTTCTGTTTATCTCCACTTCTCGCGGTTCGCCCGGTGGTGGAACCTTGTTCCTGCCTGGTGCCTCGTGGCAGTAACCTACTTTTTGCGTCTTCTGTATTCCGTACCGTTTGTACCTCGTTCCTTCCATAGTCTCGGTTGTTTGATTGCTTGGAATATGGCATGTTACAAGAAGATGCCCTCCTTCTGGCAATTGTAAAACAACGCGCAGAAACGGCAAGTCCGAGTTGATTAATTAAAGACCCGAGACCACACCTGGTCACCTCACCTTCTTCATACTACGTACTCTGGTACTGTACGTGCTTTGCAAATCGTCCGTTAGTGTCTTCATCCCGTCTCTGTGAGCATCCACCCGGGATTCTCACGGGGCAATCGCGAAATGAATCAGGCGAGAGGGTCGCCTACTAATACCGCAGAGTTTTCTTAGCACCGGCGACAGAACTAAGAGGTCTTCCCGCCGCTGATCTCCCTACAGTATTGTTAAGATCGTATGCTTTTATGCCAACTGAGGACCGATTTGGCTGCTACTTTGCGACTACTTTGTAGCTTTTCTGTTTTTCCTCTTGGGCTTATGACGTCCCCTACACCTAACCAATAGGATAAAATGGAGCCCTTCCACTAGTACACAAACAACTTTCTTGAACAGCCTGTTTCGGGCACTTGAATGGCACTTTTCCTTTTGGTTTTACATGCGCTGTCTCTCTCCCTGGTGCTGTGGCTCGTACGCCGTTTGAGATAAATGCGCTCTGCTTGGGCAACATGCATCAAGCTGCCGTCGCAGACTGAAAGGACCATTTCATCGTGGAGCAGGCCGCATCTTGCCTCCCGGCACTGCCAAACGCTTTTGTTTTCCGTTTCTGCAGAGACTTACATCGGCCCAAAGGTGAGGCCCAGATCTGTGGACCGGGGCCAATCGCAATTCCGTGTTCTGTGATTGGTTGGCGCACTAAGGCAAGAAAATACCGTTTTCGACCACAGTGCGCCCCAGTTGTGAAAAGAGCTTCTGACACTGTTATCCCGGAGCATGTGCACTCCATAGCAACCGTCAACCACATTGTTCAGCCATCCTCGCACGCATCGCTGACGATCAAACCCAACACGCCAAAAAGAGGACAACGGTACCATGGCCATACGTATCGCCGTCACTGCCCAGTAACTGCAACTACCCTTTTTCGTCCTCGAATCACTAACACCAAAAGAGCTGGTGCGATGCCGTGAGTTGGGATCCGTATTACTGTGCGCGGGTTGCTCGCACTGTCCATGCATATGGAGCAAACAGCGCAGACACTTGCATCTCATATTTATCGGCATCGTCTCGCAGTATCCCGTCTGTGAGAAGATGGCTTTCGTTGACGACTTGTTGCTTTGCGTATCGAACACATCGAACGCATGTCTGATGTGCAGTTACCTCGCGCCTGCCTCCTGCGTGTCCGCCTCCCCATATACAGGACTGTGTATTTCGTAGGACATACGACATCTACCATCCTCTAACGAGTCGAGTCCAGGATCCACGCATCGCTGTTTCCAGACACCCCTAGAAGCCCGTCTCCCACACCGCCTTCTATTTTCGCTGTTCTCTAATACTGCATTGCAGACTGCAGCCTTCAGCTGTCTGCTCGTCGTCTGCTCACCACTCAAGACAGAGCAGCTGCAGCAACTTTTTGCACTTTGCATAGAGTACTTACACCCACCCATCCTAGAAAAGCGGCCCCAGATGGACACCGCCTTTCTTAGTCGGTACTAAACGTGCTGTTGTTGGATGGACTTGCTGTGGGACCCACCCAGCCACTTTTCTTTTTCTGCCTAGCCTAATTTTTTTTCGTCCCTGCGCCTGCCCTCGTTGGACACCTGTCACGGAGCTCTTTCCTCCCTTTCACAAGCTTCCCCCCCCGTACAAAGTAATGTCGTCGTAGTACTCCTTTCCTTCCCCAAGTGAAGATGTCATTCGTCTTCTTCTCCCACAGGTCCCCCTTGCGTCACGATCGTTGGATGACCAGCACATTACGTCCTACCCAGTGCGACATTTGACAGATGGGCTCCCATGAGTTGACCTGGAGCGTAATGGGCGAAAAGGAGGCAGGGACGTGGATCGTGCGCCGTGCGGCGCACCCTGGCGCCCGTGCGAGTAAGAACGACCCTTGGGCCAAAAAAATGGATCCTCTTTTCCTGTTTCTGTCCAAAACGATGTTGTGTCTTGTGCCGTGGTGCTCCATAACCTCATGTCTCGTGCCTGCCACCGGGGGAAGAAATAGTCTCAAACGGTGAACGTTGGTTATTCTGTGCGCCACTGCTTGCCAACGACCAAACAAGGGGAAAGAGCAACCGGCCGCCGTCGTGCTGCTTCTCGGGAGGTGCCTGACTCTCTGGCGGTGGCACTTGCTGCCTACAGAGAAAAGGCTTCAAAAGGCTTCAATGTGCCTCATACCACTTTCCACTTTTCTTGCTTGTCGCCAGACCATTTACCGCTTTGCCTCTGCCACCAGTATTTTTTTTTTTTTTTTGTTCTCGCCCAGCTCGCGCATGCGACATACGACAGGGGGTGTGAGCGCAAAAAAAGTTCTGGTCCACTAGCGCCGTTCCGTTGGTCGTTTCGGGTCTCTTCCCAGACACTTTTTCGTAAGGAAATTATGGCACCGAAGAAGAAAAAGAAGGAAAGGACCCATAAAAAACAGAGCAAGAGCAAAGAAGGCAGGCGAGGAGGCGGACGAACAAGAGACTTGTCATGCAGGCTCTTTTGTATGTGCAAACGCAGACACGCCGGCGAAAAAGTTTGTACCCTCATCACTGTTTGCTGGCAAGAGCCCCCCTTCGCACTTTGCGCTCCTGCTGTCTTCCTTGTCGTTTCGCCCCATGACGGCCCAGACCCAGTTAAGAGCCAAGAAAAGGCCCCAGAAAAAAAATAAGAAAGAGCCCAGAAAAACTAGAAAAGCAAGTGCGCCGTACGTAACAGACTGTAAGAGGCACCTGTAATGAAAAACAGGCAAACAGCAACTACCCAAAAGAAAAGAGAGAAAAGAGAGAAAAGAGAGAAGAGAGAAAAGAGTAAAGAGAAAAGAGAAAAACAATGAAAATCAGCAGATGCTCAGAAGTCCTTTACATTTACTCTGCGCATCTACATTTCAAAGTACTTTAAAATACTTGGTCGTCATTCGTGCCTTCCCTTTCAAGTCCACCCGGCATCCACCGAACAAAAAAATTTCCTCTTCTTTTCATCTGTCTTTCACTTCGAGGGCAATATCCTTGGGTGATTGCTTAGGCACAGAATCGTCATTCCGAGGCAGCTCTTCACGAGTATACATCATACTTGTACTTTGTAAATGCAAAGGCGCATTCAGCACACATTACTAGCAACAATGTAACTGAAAAAGAGCGGCCGTGTGAAGAAATTCCCGCCCCCTTCCTTTCCTGCCTCAACTTTTTTGCCGCCCATGACCTCCCCCCCCCCCCCTCTGAGTGAGGCCTTCCGTCACTCACTCTGTCGCTCCTGCCCCGTTTCTTTCTTTTCTGTCTTTCCACCCACACCCCCTTGTTCCATTTTTCTGGCCTCCTGCACCACCTTCTCGCTGCACGCCAGCCTAGCTGCCTTACCGCCGGCCCCGAGCGACCAAGCAGTGACGCTTGTAAATCCCCTCTCCCTTGGCTCTTTTGTTCTTTTTCTTGGGGGGTTTTTCTTTTAGCTCTTTCTTGTTTTAGCCTGCAACTGGTCCTCCTTCTGCCTGCTCCCACGCCCATCCGTTGCCACCGCTGAGTGAACTCATCGCCTTACCGCTTTTACACCGTCTCTGGTGCTCTCTGTAATACTGCGTCTCTCCCTGGCTTCGCCGGCTTCCCTTCCCCTTTCTGCCTGCTCTTTTTTGGGGTCTGCTACTGCCTGTTGCTCCTTCCCTTTTTTTCCCTCCCAGCGACCCGCATCCAACAAAAACAAAACAAAACAGATGCAATCAACTCGCAAGGAAAGAACGACTCGACAAGCTTGCTACAGAAAAAGGCGTGCCTTCCTTCGTTGAACTGTGTTAACTGCTCTCGCCTTCCCCCGACAACCCACCAAAACAAACTAGCAGGAAGGAGCGATCGTCCGCATTAAAACTCAGGCCGCCCAAAACAGAAAGAGCTGGGGTGTCCGGAGTATACCATACAGCAACCGACGAAACAACCCAACTTCCCTTTTTTTTTCTTCCTCTTGTCAAGAGCATCCCCATCCATCAATCCCCTTCCACCTTTCGCACCATCTGCTGCTGCTTCATTTTTTATTTTTCACGCAACAGCATCAAAACAGCATTCCTCGCCATCCATCCGTGCCTCACCCACCGCTCCGCTCCCCACACTCTCCTACCCAAGAATCGAAATCAATCAGTGCCAGCGAAACATCTGCACGCACTTGCTCGCATTTGCACGCATTTTATTTCCACATTCCGCCCCCTGCATCACACAGCGGACAGGTCATTTCGCCGTACAAACGCAGGAACAGAACGCACACAATAGACGAGACAGACGGCAAAGAAAGCAAAGACACAGCAAACGCTTTTGGCGCATTGGCAGAGAGATCTGGAGATCGCTCGCCTCGTCCCCCTCGGTGTTCTCTTCTCTACCCTACTAGTTTTATCTCCTTCGTCTCACATATCTCCGTTTCCCCTGTTTTGTACCTTTTTCCTGCTATTTCTTCTTTTTCCCTCTCTCCCTCTATTTTCCCTCTTATTCCTCCTTTTATTATTTCTTGTATTCTTTCTCCTCCCTTTTCTCTCTCCCCCTTGATCGGTCCCTTGTGATCGCCCGATTGTCGTTCCAACAACACAAAAACGGCGGCCTCCCCTCCCTCTCGCATCATGCCGTACAATACTCGTCGCAAATCACTCTCGCTGCCGTCGCTGGGCATCCACGTTCCTGTTACGCACGCCGCTCGCGCTGCCGCCGCCGCCGCTGCTGCCGCCGCAACCAAGCCTACCTCCTCCAACACCATCGCATCACCAGGAGCGTCCCCCGCAACCTCGTCCACCTCTTCGTCCAACACAACCTTCTCCCAGTCTGCTTCCTCTTCGTCTTCCACCCAGCGGCAGCTCACGCCCGTCTTCGACTCGACTACCAACATGGCGCCACCTGCTACTACTCTTTCTTCGTCTGCCTCACCAAAGCGCACGTCGTCGGCCGTCGCGTCCGATGAACAACGACCCTCGGCCAAGCGGACCAAGCGCAGCCACGACGCCTCCCCCAAGACCACCGCTGTCGCCACACCGCCCCAGTCGCCAAAACGCCAGCAGTCTGTCGAGTTGGACTCGTCTGACGTCGAGGAGGTCGAGATTGACATGGACGAGGTCAACGACGACATTGTCGAGGCCGTCATCATTTTGCTCAAGTCCACTGGCAACCGCCCGCACCTGATCAAGGAGCTGTCAGCCATTCTGATGCAGCAGCTCAAATCCGTTCAACAGTATGTCCAATTTCTCCCGAAAGCCGCCTCCTACCAATCCCTTCAATTGTCGGGTCTTCAATTCCCAAATTCCCAAATTTCGTTTGCCGACTTGACTCTACCACCCAAGAAGTCTCACGATTCCCACTTATTTTTTTTCCCTCTCGTCCCTGCATATATTTTTTGGCCCTGGCGCTCCCATCTCTTAGCGCATTTTCGTATTTCCCCTTTTAGGCGCATCTACTAACAGCATGGCTCCTCCTCTCTCCACAGGTCGGCAAATCCCTGCGCCATCATCTCGTCTCGCCTCGCGTCCTACATGAAGCGCCCCTGCTGGTCCGCCTCGAAAAACTGCCCTCTGACCAAGGAGCTCGAGAACATTCACCCCCGTCGCACCTACTACTATTTGACCACCTGCCCGCACCTGCCGCTCCCGGATGCCTCGTCCGTCCATTTCATTGTGCCGCGCACCAGCATTGTCACGCCACCGATGTCGAGCGCCGCGTCCGGTTCCGAGACCACCGAGGAGGAGCGGCGCCGCGAACTGAGCCCGTCGCCTGAGGTCGACCTGTCTTCGCCCGAGTTTGACGACCTGGACGACGACATTCCGATGCCCGGCACGCCCATCACGCACCTCTCCCACCGCTACCCCCGCTATTCGCGCGAAGCGCGCTACCACCACGCCGGCCACCACCGCTCGGCCAGCTCGTACTCGTCTCGCAACCACCGCGGCGCGTCACCTCCTCTCGAAAAGGACGAGAAGGAGTTTACGCAGACCGCCGAGGGCCTCCAGAAGCAGAAGCACGCCGGCAGCCGCTTCCTGCTGTCGCCCGCTGCCATTGCCGCCCAGGCCGCACCCCCCTCGTCCGCTACTGCTCATGTGCACAACAACGGCATGTTCTTGGACGACGCCGGTCGTGACGAGGCGCTGCTGTTTGGTTCGGAGACCGCCGCCGCTCGCCACATGGAGTCCTTTGCGCTCATGACGAGCCCGGCCATGCGCCCCATGTTCTCGCTTGGCCCTAAGAGGGACCACGAGGCCGAGAACTGGGCCAAGCTCGACAGCATGGTCACCGGCTGGGACCGGTGCCCGGAGAACATTGAGCTCGATGAGCTCGACTGCCTGCTGGATGAGTTTTAATTGTCAATCTCACCACTCCCCTCCTTTTTTTTCTCCTTTTTCTCTTTTTCTTCTGAGATACCATTCCCCTCTTCTCTTTCTATTTCCTTCTGGTTTTGTGTCTGGAGGTGAGATGCACAAAAAATGTAACGATTTATGGTTTCTTCTCTTTGTTGCGATTTCATTTTTGATCTTTTTTGATCTTTTCCTCTTTTTTGTGATTTTGAGGGGTTCGGCGGGTTTGCAAAAAAATCGGGCATTTGGTATTTTTTGTGAGGTCTCACGGGGATGAACCGGCGTCGAAATTTGGCATTTTGTGTTATTGTTTTATTTGTTGATCCGTTTCAATGTGCTTTCGTTGTTTTGTCATCTTCAATTCGTCGTCTATCATGTTTTTTGACATTTCTCTCTCCTATCCTATGAAAGGTCTCTTATTTTCTCCCTGTGTCGCTTGATCAAGCGTCTGGGGTCTCCGCTCTCATCTCCATCGTCCCCTCTTTCCGTTCTGCGCTCTTGTGCTGTCGCCCATGTTTGAGCTGTCTGCGCTGCTCTCTGTGTTTCTTGTGTATGAGTGTGGGCAGGTGAAAAGGGAATAGATGAAGAGACGTGTGTGAATCGCCTCAAAGATTATAAAGAAAAGGCCGAGGGAACGATTCTGTTTTTGTTTATTGTCTTACAATGTGTCCTACAGAAGGTTCCGTTGATGTCTTTCTTTCCTACCGGTGTGTCCTTTCTTATCTTCTTATCCTGTACGATAGGTTCGCCAGTGGATTAAACTAGCCGTTTGTGTCTTTAGACGGGAATCTGTTGATACATAAAGGGTGGAGGGGAGTGTCGGATAGAGAAAATAGAGCAAGTCGGCTGGAGAAGTGAGAGGTTTCAAAGTTTGCCTGTGTTTTTACTTGTTTTTGTTTAGTTCATGAAAAGCGTTTGATTTATTAAAGTTGTGTGATTCCTGATCTCTTTGGCTTATTGTGAAATTAATATATATATATATATATATATATAATTAAAAAATCAAGGCCCATCTTAAAATTTCTTAGATACGTCCATTTGAATAAACATAAAACGAGTAGGAAGATGGCATATTTTTGCAGGCATTTCCCTATTTTAATCCATCACCATCGTCATGTTTCCAGTCCGCTCTCCCCTCTCTGCTGACAACAGTGGCACTCCGACTCTCACCCTTACTTCTTTGCTGCGGCTTCCCTCACCCGCAGCTCAATCTTCCAGAGCGTCCCAAATTGTAGCCATCCCGGCCGCTTCACCGACACCACCTCCAGACCGGGAACCGTCTCCTGTGCCTTGGCCACAATTGCCGCCATGTCGCGGTTCCACCAGCAGCCAAATCGCGCAAAATGGCGGCTCGCGTACTGGTCCAGCAGCGAGTTGACCACGGACCAACTGCCGCGGCCGTGCTCGAGCAAGACAATGCGGCCCGTCTCGGGCTTAACGACGGCGGCCATGTTGGCAATCAGGACGACGGGGTCGGCCACCGAACAGAGGCCAAAGGTCTGGACGACCGTATCGTAGCGGGCGGTGTTGGTGGACGGCGCGGGCAGCGGCAAGGGCTGCATCGCGTCGCCGCGGATGAGGCGCACCTTGCCGTCGAGGGTACTGACGACCTCGGCATCGGCGCTGAAAGCGTCATCAATGGCGGGCGCCTTCTTGGGGATGGCGGCAGCCACAGCCGGGACGGTGACGCGCAACTGTGTGCGCGCCATGCCCAGCGCCTCACCCGACAAGTCGATGCCCGTAAACGACGTGATCTTGGGCCGCTCCTTGTTTCCGTTGAGCAAGTCGGCTGTCGCAGCCGAGGACTTGATGTAGGAGGGCGTGAACGTAGCCGGATCCCACACGTAGTAGCTCACGTTGCGGCCGGTGCCGACGGCCACCTCGAGCACGGCGCCCGACGACCCGCTGGCCAGCTTCTTGCGCTCGTGCTTGATGCCCATGATGCGCTCCGGCACATCCAGAGAGGCGTCAAAAGCGGCAGCACCGACGGGAGGAAGACCCGTGGGAATGGCATCGGGCGCAACCTCGGCGTGCTGGTGGTCGTCGCGGCAGCCGCCCTTGAGGTAGGTGATGAGCAGGGGCATAATGTAGAAGCCCAGGACACCCGCAGCCAGGGCTGCGCCAATAAGGGGCAGCTTTCGCTGTGAGAAAAGACTGTCGAGAGCTTCCGGCTTTTCTTTTCCTTTTTCCTTCTTTCCTTGCTGCTGCTGTTGCTCGTCGTCCTGCTTGCTCTTGTCTGACGAGGCGAATGGTAATGGCCGGTACGGCAAAGGCGCTGCCCGAGATTGTGGTATACGAGCCACTCTGTCTGTATTGGACTGAGATGGTGAAGACGGGTTAGGCTCCGCGGGTGGCTGTTTTGATGCTGGTCCCTTGGGTGGTGGCCGCTTCATGCGAGGTGGTGTCGCCTGAAAGAGAGTCCGTCTGAAGGAGCTAGCGGCGACACATGGATGAAGTGGTCGAGACACAGATGACAGTACCATGGATGTTTGGTAACTGCATCTCCAGTTCTGGACCACCATGCCGGCAGCCCTTGAGCCGGTGACGCTCATGATGTCGGAAAATGAGATGCGATTCGACACGATTGACAAAGTCCGTCTCTTTCTCGTGACATGAAAGCCAGTCGCCGCGCAAATGTCACCTTTGGCGTCTGAAATATATATATGAACTGGCTAATATCTTCTCGTGGCTTTGGCCGAGTGTGTTTCAACTCCACGAACAGCGAGTTGAGTGTTGACCGCGGAAGCTTTCTGCTATGGTTCAAGGTTTTCGACGTTTTCCCCAATCGTTGACCTCGAATTGGAAAAAGCGGGGCGCTTGCTGTAGCTCACCTTGCCGTATGTACTCCAAAGTGTGGCCCTATCCTGTGACTTCGCGAGTAACCAACTTAAGCTTTCCCACTAGCATCCCATGCATCGTACCGTCATTCTGTGGAATTCACAAACACCTGCGTCGTGGTCGTCGTGGTGCACTTCGTTCAAAGGCGACGCCGACAAATCAGCTTGACGACACAGCCGAACAATAGTGAAAATGGCGTCTGCTCCTTCGGAAAAAGATCTGCAGGAGCTGCTCCGCTTGCTGACAACAACGCGCAAGCTGCCCATCTTGCAGGCAATGACGCAGGTGAAGGCGCTACAGGCTGCCAATCTGCGAAGGTGTGTGCTGTTTTTTGTAACTCTGTATTTCCCGCCCCTACTGACACCTGTAGCATCCAACAAATTGCCGAGGCGCCGGCGGATGTTGTCAAGGACGCCATCAAGGATGCTGCCGCGGCCAAGTCATTACAAACGAGCTGCAAGACGGCCCTCAAGAAAATGGCCGCAGGCGGCAGCGCAACCGGCAGCAAACGGACAGCTTCGGCCAGTGGATCGGCATCGGCCAAGCGGGCTAAGCAGCTGGACGGCACAGCAGCTGCGTCGAGCAGCAGCAATATGTTTATGGGTCCCGAGCCGATGACCGCCGCCGAGCTGGAACGCTCCCTCGAGCTTCCCGTGTTTGTGCCGGCCGACGAGGAGGAAGAGGCCCGCATCGCTTCCACCGTCCTCCTGACCAACCGTGCGCCCTTGGTTTTGGCGTTTGCCGTCGAGCTGCTGCGCTACACCATGCCGGAGCAGCCAGTGTCGAGCCGCTTGAGTCTGGCCCAGGCTGTCGTCAGTGCCAACTCGCGGTCCAAGGCCACGAGTCTCGGCTTGGAGTGGGCGAAAGGACCCAGTGCCGACGAGTCCGGCTGGGGCCAGGGCCAGCCGCGGGTCCGCATCCTGGGCCGTGAGGTGGCCGTGCTCAAGCGCAGCGGGTATACTTGGAAGGGCGACGAAGAACAAGAGGAGGTGGATCATATCGACGATGACAAGAAGCCAGAGGCCACACATGCAACCGGGAACGACGCTGTTGTGGCCTCAGAACCGCAACAAGCACCACCACAACTCGCTCCACAGGTCCACAGTGCCTTGTCACAGCCTGCCGCCGGTGTTTGGTCTACCAGCCAGACCATCTCCCTCAAGGACTCGACGTTTGTGGCGCGCGCCACCACCATCACCGATCCGGCACAGCGGGCGGGTCTGCTCCGTTCTCTCATGGAAGCGCATCCCAAGCTTCTGACGGCCTCGCACAACGCCTGGGCCTACCGGGTCCGCAGTACCAGCAGCGACTACGCCAGCAGCGTGCGCCAGGATTCGTACGATGACGGCGAGACGGGCTGTGGCGACCTGATGCTGCGCATCCTGCACGAACTCGGTGCTGTCGATACGCTGGTTGTGCTGACGCGCTGGTTCGGCGGCACGTTGTTGGGCCCGGATCGCTGGCGGCTGATGCGCAACTGCGTGACGGGTGTCATGGCGGAGCGCCTGCGCCGCACGGGTGCGGATGTGGCCTTGGGTGGCGAGGCGGCGTGGGGACTGGACCTCGAGGCGATGCGCGAACAGCAGGAAGCTGGTGGTGCTGGTGCTGGTGTTGGTCCTGGTGGTCGAAGCAGTAGTCACAGCGCCGCCTCGCGCTTCAAGCACGGCCCCAATACAGGGCTGACGCCTGTGGTCGGCATGCCCATCCACCGGCCCGAAGGCGCTCGGCAATATCTCATGCGCAACTTCGCGTCCTCTGAAGACTCTGGAAAGGTTGGCGGTGTCGGGCCGACATCCGAGACAACTCCAACGAAAAAGAAGAAGACAGTCAAGGCCATGGATGCCGAGAAGGAAGAGAATCTCAGCCTGCTTCTGGGTGCCCTGCGCATGGTCTATGACAGCTGGGCCGATCACATTACGACCGCCGAGCTGGACCGGCGCGCCTGGAGCTGGTATGTCGCCGTGCGGCCGGATGTTGACGCTGGCCCCTCTGGTTGGGGCGCCAAGGGCACCGTCAAGCTCAAAGACATTCTGGCACTTCGGCGAATAGAGCAGAAGACATGAGTACTGGCGGGGAATGCAACATTACGAAAATGCGGCCGATCCGCATCGCATAAGGGCAATGTTCTTGTCGATGGCACTCTTCTTCATTGACATCGTACGGTAGTGTATACCCCAGTCTAGGATCGCGATATTGGAGCCTAAGTCTCTTCTTCCAACGCAAAAAGCCAAGGATCACAATGTTTATCGTGGAGCTGAATTCCGGTAGGAGATGCTCTGCATGTTTCATCTGCCTCGTCCAGGGTCTGGCAGCGTCTGCCAGTAGAGCATCGAGCCGGGGACACGGACTTGCCTGCTGGAGTCAGAATGCTGTGTGACGAAGAAGACGAAATCATATCTTCTTAGCACTTTACCTTCGCTACCAAGGACATGCCTAGGCTACCTCGCGCGTGTCTTTGCATGCTAGTGTTCACGGGATCGTCCGGCGAGATGATAATGACGAGTTGAGAAAGATAGGAGGCGGCTGAAGGAGAAGAGTTCGTGACTGTTCTCATGAGGAAGATATGTCGTGTGCAAGCAAATAAATCGAACGCTGAAAAACGCTGGCGAAAAGATGCAAGCGATCCCATTCGCACTCGCACTTTCCTAAATCATAGGCATTTTATATTGCCCCTGAGTTACCAGTCTTGGATCAGCTCAGAGAAGGTGCAGTCATCGCCGTTCTTTCCTTCTGGAGAGTACACATACATTGTGACGCACACAAGGAAGGCACCAATGAATCTGGGAAGGGGCGACCTAAATGATGTGGCACGTGCTGGAAGGCGCAACCTGCACTTCGCCAGGTATCGCGAAAAAGACTTGACCAATCACATCCCATATTCACTATCCTTCCCAAGGCGCATATCGTCGAGGCTGCGGTCGCAGACAACAAATAACAACCCTTTCTATTTGTTAATCCAGAGAGCTTTACCGAAAACTTATCAATGTGAGATTCCTTCTACCGCTCGCTCCTCATTGACCGACAGAGCGACAGCCGGTTCCTTGATCAAAGAGTCACAGAACAGTGCAAAACAGCAATACTTTATCCCCCGGCACAATTGCTGCCTTTTCCTCGGAGGGGAGAAGCATTCGTGAGTTCGGTCCATGGCGATTCTCGTATGCCGTGCGATGGCCGGCCTCACTGTTGAAGTCTATCCGATTGTTTCCTCTCTGGCGCCATTACAGCTGAAAACCTCGGCCGGTCAGAAATCATAGCGCATGTACTTTTCAAAACAACGTTTGTCTTGTGTTTGCATACTTTAAGACGAGACCACTCGTCCACTTGCTTACGCCTTAGTACGGAAACGGAGACGGAGCGGGACTTAAGGTGGACATTGCCGCTGGCGTACAAGTGGTACCTCCGTTTCTATCAGCGGATTCTCGTACACTTGTGCCCACGCAAGGCTTGGTGACGTCTCCGAAGACACATCTGGACTGAGAAGCCGGTCCGTACAAAATCCGACCAGCTCATTCTCATGGCTGAGTCTGTTGTAAGGTCTGAGGACTTGCCGGTTTAAGCCCCCATTGTCAACCTATTTTTGGGGCAAGTTGCAGGAAACCTGGGACCTCATATACGTTATTCTGTATTTCCGTTTCATCCTTTATTGTCGAGAAATATTCTGTCAAGTTCTGGGATTTGACCGTAGATTTTGTTTACTTATTTCCCGTATTTCTGGATTCTCTGTACTCGGCAACTTTCTTGGCCACTCTCGAACGGCCGTTCTATTTCAGCCCCTTGTCCCGGGAAAACCTTCAGACCTACGGACATGAGCGAGAGACTCACACCGCACATCGGGATCTTTGGGGCGATACGATTTACGAGTTGATCAGTTCACACTGACATCAACGCTCACATCAAACATCGTATTTACACGGGTACGCGGACGGTAATTGTCCGACGGATAGTGTATCATTTTCTTTTTATTTTCACTTTTTACTTCACCTCGATTTTCTCCAGCATTGTCATGCGCCCAAGATCGTCCCAATAGTGGTTACGTGCATCATTAATACTTCTGTATGAGTGACGGAAGCGGGATGTAGCTGGTCTCACAAGTCTCGTACTAACACGTGACCTTCGGTTTCCCGTTCCAGTGGATCCACCACCGCATGGCGGCTTGCTTCGGTAAAACGTGTCCTACGATTGGCTGGCTGGGACATGGCCCCTTCTGGCCTCGGCTCTGAGAAGGAAACTAGCGGACCAGGCCCCTGTAGTCGGGTTGATCCTGCCAAATTTTCGCTTTTCGGTCACTATCCTGTGGGGCTTCGTTGGAATTGTTTGGGGCAGTCGCACAAGCCGAATAACGGCCTCCAAAACACCACACAAATAAATACGTCACCATCTTCATCCACCACAAGCCGTTTGCATTTCCAGAGTCACGCTCCCCAGTCTGCCATTATCGAATCCACAGACCACGAACTTGGCCCTTTGTTCGTCAGTTGCCCTTTCGAAGCTCTCTACGGTATCAATTGAAGGTTCCGTGGCACCAGCTTAACACGAAACAAGCAATTAAAAGCGACGAAAACAAAACTAATAAGAAAAGACAAAAAATAAAAAAGAAAGAAGCTAAAGCTTTGAGCTGTTGCTTTTCGTCTGCAACCTAATTGGCCTCCTCGGCCCTTGGTTAACCGTGCAGGACCTCCACTTTGGACATTCCGGCTGCTCAAGTCTTCTCACAAGACCAACACCCCAAAGAGGCCAAACGGGCGGCCATGCAATAACTGGCATTTTCCTGTTCCACTTTGACCTGACACCTCTGACTCGAATTCTTCTTCATTCCTATCGTGGTGTTACGGTTGCGAACGTCTCTTGCCGCTGGGCATTCGAATTTTCACTTTTTTCGAAGACTAGCGACGCCATTGTCAACATCGACTGTCAACCTTTCAAAAAACCAAGCGCCCGACGAACGGCCTCTACACAACACTCCACACATCCACAGCCATGTTCACAGCCTCAGCATCAAGCAGCCCTGCCGTTGCGGTGCGCGTGTGCTGGACGGCAGGCCGCCGCAGAGCTGTCCTGCCGACCAGACCAGCAGCCGCGCCACAAAACTCGTACTCGGCCTCGGGCCAGGTCCCGAACGGCCCAGTCCGGTGGAACAGCAGCGCGTTGCGATGCACAGCTACCCCGGCGACGACGTCATCGCCCTCATCTCGCCGGTGCCGCACCTCTGCTTCCTCGTCCCACAATAGCGTCCAGGCGGCAAGCCGGCCACGATTTGCGACCGGCAACACCCCCAAGCCCATCCCCACCCCGTACTTCGCACAGACACGATTCTTCTCTGAGAGCCGGCGGCGGCGCATGGCCGACGTCGTCGCGGACGAGGACAGCTTCGACCCCAAGAGCATCGAGCGCGAAAGCGACATGGTGGACGTGTGTATCATTGGCGGCGGCCCGGCCGGTCTGAGCGCCGCCATCCGCCTCAAGCAACTGGCCACCGAGGCCGGCAACGAGGACTTCCGCGTGCTGCTGTTGGAAAAGGCGGGCGAACTGGGTGCACACACCATGTCGGGCGCCGTCATCCAGCCAGACGCCATCAACGACCTGATCCCTAACTGGCTCGACGAGGACAACCCGGACCGCTTCGAGTTTGCGACGCCCGCCGGCAAGGACAGCATGAAGTTCCTGACCAAGACCAAAGCCTTCCCGCTGCCCATCCCGCCCCAGATGCACAACGACGGCAACTACATTGTCAGCCTGAACCAGTACGTCAGCTGGCTCGGCGCGCGCGCCGAGGAGGCGGGCGTCGAGGTGTACCCCGGTTTCGCGGCGTCGGAGGTGCTGTACGCGGCCGACGGCAGCGTGTCGGGCGTGGCCACCAACGACGTCGGCATTGGCCGCGACGGCAAGCCCAAGGACTCTTTTGAGCGCGGCATGGAGTTCCATGCGCGCGTCACGCTCTTTGCCGAGGGCTGCCACGGCAGCCTGACCAAGCAGGTCATCAAGAAGTTTGACCTGCGCCGCGACAGCGACCCGCAAACGTACGGGCTGGGCATCAAAGAGGTCTGGGAGGTGCGGCCCGAGGTCTTCGAGAAGGGAAAGATTGTCCACGCCATGGGCTACCCGTTGCCCTATGACTTGTACGGCGGCGGCTTTATGTACCACTTTGGCGACAACCTGGTGACGCTGGGTCTCGTGACCTCGCTCGACTACAAGAACCCGTGGCTGTCGCCCTACAACGAGTTCCAGCGCATGAAGCAGCACCCGCTGTTCCGGTCCGTGCTCGAGGGCGGCAAGTGCATCTCGTACGGTGCGCGCGCCATTATCGAGGGCGGTCTGCAATCGGTCCCCAAGGTGGCCTTCCCCGGCGGCGCCATCATCGGCGACTCGGCCGGCTTTGTCAATGTGCCCAAGATCAAGGGCACGCACAATGCAATGAGGTCGGGCATGCTGGCCGCTGAGGCGGCGTGGAACGCGCTGAAGACGGGCAGTACCGCTGCTGAGGGCGAGGGTGAGGCCGAGAACCAAGACGACGATGGCCAGTCGACGGTCCGCGGCGACACCGTCTTCTTGTACGAGTACGAAGAGGCCCTCCGCAAGTCCTCGATCTGGAAGGAGCTGCACGAGGTCCGCAACATGCGCCCGTCCTTCCAGACGCCCCTCGGCATGTACGGCGGCGTGCTGTACTCGGGCATCGAGGCCATTGTCTTGAAGGGCCGCATGCCCTGGACCCTGCACCACCGCCACGCAGACCACGAGACCACCAAGCCCGCGAGCCAGTACAAGAAGATTGACTACCCCAAGCCCGACGGCGAAATCACCTTTGACATCCTGACGAGCGTCTCGCGCACCGGCACCAACCACGAAGAGGACCAGCCCGTCCACCTGCAGGTCAAGGACTGGGAGAAGCACACGACTGAGACGTATCCTGAGTTCCAAGGCCTGGAGAACCGCTTCTGCCCGGCCGGCGTTTATGAGTACATTGAGGACAACACCAAGCCTGAGGGCGTGCGTTTCCAGATCAACGCGCAAAAGTAGGTCCTCCTTCCGCTCTTCACTTTTGTTCTCTCGTTTTGTTGTTTCTTTCCTCTCTTTTTTAAGCACACACTAACCCGTATAGCTGCATTCACTGCAAGACGTGCGACATCAAGGCGCCCAAGCAGGACATCAACTGGCAGGTGCCCCAGGGTGGCGAAGGTCCCAAGTACTACATGACATAAGAGACGGAGAGAGAGAGACGGAGAGAAAGAGGAAGAAAAATTTGAGAGTGAGGAGTGGACAGTAAAGCCCATACATTATGTTTACTTTTTGACTCTGTCGTTTGGTTGCACATATTCATTTTGGAGACATCGGATTGGTTGTTTTGCTAGGAAAGAAAAGAAAAGTTCACACTGTATGAAGTAAAACGGTTTCTTTCGAAACAAACGGACAAAGTATTGGCAGGTTTAGCCGGTTGACCAACGGCCTCTCTTCTCTGCCTGCAGGTAGCTGCAATGAGCCGTGCAACTATAGGACAAAAGGCAGACAACGACCAGTCCCGCGCCTTCACCGGCGTATTTTGTTTGGTGGCGGGCATTAGCTGGTCTTGATCTGTCGTATTGGTCACTGCCACAACACGGTGGCTGGTCATGTTGAGCCAGGATACCCTTCAATGTTAAAAAATAAAAAGGAGAAGAAAAGACCACAGGTCAGTATGTTCAAAAGTACGGCATTCATATGCATGCAACATGCTGTGTCGGATGAGGAACGCCAGCAAATCAAGACAAACAATCGAGTAAAAGAAAAAAAGCTGCAAGGACGGAATGAGTCATGATGTCCTCGTACTCCGAACGTCGTAGGACCTGTGGTCTTTTGGCATGAAAAAGGCAGCAACAGCATGGCTGGGTGAGAAAACTAAAGGGTGTGAAGGGTCCGTGGGCAGGGGCTTTGCAGCTGAACGGCGCAGAGCCTCGAGTGTGTGGTGTGCTAAAGCCTAGCTTGCAAAAAGAAAGCAGAATGAAAGTACATCTACCTGCACTTTCAAGGGGCGAAGGAAGTTTGAAGAGGGTTGAGATGTTGCACCACGGCTCACCCCTTTTTTTGTGATAAGGGATGTGAACAAGGGGGTGGTGTGTTCACGCACGTCGACAAAAATGTACGAAAAAGGACAGAAAATGGAAAAGCAGCACGAGGAGGTGAAAGAAAAGGAGAAAATGTGAGATAGAAATGATGATAAAATAAAAACAGAAAAAAAGTGATGTGTCAAGTTTTACAAGTGAACAACAAAAAGGTTCCTGTAGGACTGGGTGAGTTATACGAAGTGAAGAGAGCACAGAAGGGACTTATATGCCTGGCGATGAGAGAAAGAAATACAACACGAATGTCGTATCTTACATCGCATGATGGTGATAAGAACAGATAAAAACTAGACGGACGGTGATAAAAAATATTGCATGCCGTCGTAGTTCGTTTGCGCCTTCCTCCTCATTTCACCTCAACAAAATCAGGCCAAGGGAAGGAGCTCCCACGATAAAAATGACGGGTCAAGGAAAGAGGTACTAGTACAAAACAAGGCACACAACCTATTTGCTCACACGTTATGCACCCTAAACGGAAAGGTGCCCACCCCTTTAGCCCCTGCCGCACTCTCGTTAACTGTCGCCCAGGCAGCAGTTTCTTATGATAAAAGAGGGAGAAGGAGCGACGCCAGCGCATTGTCTGATTCGCTGCGCAATCCTGCCTGCTTCAAACCCCAGGCCCTGGACCAATCAGCGGATGCGATGGCCCTCCATCGCAACGAAAGACAAGAGAAAGAGCAACAACCACCCCTAAAGTGGGCCCCTGCCACAGCAACACACCTTTCCGTCTCACCCCTGCCCTTTGCCAGCCACTTTTGCATTTTTTCTTGCATTTTATTTAATTCATTCGCATGGAGATCCCTTCCTCATGAACCCTTGAGGCCTGTGTTTTGGGCCGCTCTCTCACTCACACGCACAGGCTGAGTCCAATGACTAGTCCCTGTAAAGTGCATCTCGTTGGCATACATAAGAATAACACAGCTCCCTTCGTTGGCGGCCCAGCTTCGAATGGAGCTTTGCGATTAGCTGTCAAGAGCTGTCCATGTTGGTCCTCATTGACGTAACTGCCTCTTTTTTGTTTGTGCAGTTGGGTCGATCCTTCTTGTTATTGTATCCAATTCATCCACTTGAATCGTTACTTCCTTCTCCTCACCGACAATTTACCGACTCTGGCCTCTCTTACGCGGAAGCTGCGCCTATCCACACCCATCAACAAACGCAGTCGCTCCTTCCGTTTTTTGCAAACGTCAACAAAGCAACAGCTCGTTCAACTTCCTCTCACTTCGCTCTCTTGCCGTCTCTTCTACCCTTTCTTCCTCTTTCATACTCAAGCCTTGCCGATATATAAAAGGCAAAATCGCCTTTTTCTTAACCTCCCACCTCTCCGGTTCCCTTCCCTTCAACTGCATCTCGTCGGCTCACACCAACCCCTCGATTTGCAGCAGGGCCGTCACAAGTAGAACGAGAGTGAAAAACGACACAGCGAAGCTCTTGCACGAATCGTCGAAGCAAATTCAAGCTTTTTGTTGTTTTGCATTCCCTTGAGCAAAACGAGCTCCTCTCCAAGAAGCAACCATTTTCTTTACGCCTCATCTAATCTTTTGGCCTGTTACGGGCCATTGGATCGACCTTGATATTTGGTAGTCGATCTTTACACCTCCCAAAACGAATCGTCATTGCCGGAGCTGCACTGCTGGGAGAGACATTGACTTGTTTATCTCCCACTTTTTTTTTTGGTAGGATTTCATCTATATTTTTGCTTACTCCTTTCATCGCCTTCGCTTTTTTACCTTGCTCATTGCGAGTGGTGGCCAAGATCGCAAGCTGTGGTTCAGAAGATCATGATGGGGCTTGTTATTGCCTCTCGCCATATTCGCCACCTCTCAGCCTGGACCGTCCTCGCCTTCATGATCCGCCACACCACGCCACATATTTGCCATTTGCGATTTTGCTGGAATATATCAATTCGAGTATCCGCGAATGCTAACATCTCATGCTTGCATAGATCTCGTTTTACAAAACCTTCTACTTTGCGCCTTCACTTCCACCTCCCTACGCAGATTTCCCGGTTTCCAGTATGGAAGCTATTCATACACATCCCGTGAATGCGTTGCAGGCAATGGCGTTCACGGCACCTGGGTCGCTCTCGTTCCCTGGCGGCCATACCGAGCTTACGCCACCACACGACTCGTTTGACAGTTCAGCAGCCGACAGCAGTCAGGAGACAACGATGCAACCGAATTCAGCTACGAGCTCGTTTGCTGCTGGTGGTTCGGATGGCGGTGCAGCAGGCAACGGCGTTGTCACGCCGGCTACGCCTGCCGCGACCCCGTCTGCCGTGACGAGCGGGAGCGGCTTGGTCCCGGTGCTACAGTAAGTATACGTGTGGCGCTGTTGACACGCCGAAAGCGCGGAAACAGTATTTGCTCACATTTTAGGAATATCGTCGCTACAGTCAACTTGGACTGCCGACTGGACCTCAAGACCATTGCTTTGCACGCACGGAATGCAGAGTACAACCCAAAGGTAGGCAGGGCTCGGTGTGAGAGTGCGAGGTTTTGTGTTGTTGCTCGCCCGTTCTTTGTTTGCTAACATGGCAATGCAGCGTTTCGCAGCAGTTATCATGCGGATCCGCGACCCCAAGACGACGGCGCTCATCTTTGCCAGTGGAAAGATGGTTGTGACCGGCGCGAAGTCCGAAGACGACAGCAAGCTGGCGTCGCGCAAGTATGCACGGATTATCCAGAAGCTAGGCTTTGACGCCAAGTTCACCGACTTCAAGATCCAGAACATTGTCGGCTCATGCGACATCAAATTCCCCGTCCGGCTGGAGGGCCTGGCCTCGCGGCACCACAACTTCAGCTCGTACGAGCCGGAGCTCTTCCCCGGTCTGATTTACCACATGATCAAGCCCAAGGTCGTGCTCTTGATCTTTGTCAGCGGCAAGACGGTGCTCACAGGCGCCAAAGTCCGTGAGGAGATCTACCAGGCCTTTGAGATGATCTACCCGGTGCTGCAAGACTTTCGCAAGGTGTAGCCGTGTACGGGTATTCGGAAACTGTTTGATTCTACGTTGCACCGTGTTGGCGCGTCGTTGTTTCGACTGCGAAACGTGTCACCATTGTCGTCTTTAATGTCTTTTACTTGTGCTTTTCTTTGCTCTTACTTGCAGCATGGCATCGGCGTTGGTCGAGTACGTTCACACACAAAAAGGAGTTCCGGAAAGGAACAAGGGCACTCATCGATTCAATATGCTTCGTTTTAATACATATTTTATGACACGTCTACACAAGTGGTTTCTAGTGTATACAATGTCTGTGATGCCTTATGCCTTGGAGCTCTTCGACAGCTCGTCCTGCAACAAGAGACCCGGCTTGCCACCACGGCTGCCGTCCTCCGTGACGACTGTCGCCCATCCGAGGCCGGCGATACTCGCACCTTTGTCCGCTTGTCGCCGCCACGCCCATTTGTCGGCAAATGCAGCCGGCCGTTGACCGACGAGACAATCGACAACCTTGTCACCCAGAACAGGCAGGAACTTGAAAGCATGGCCGCTGCCGCCGGTGGCCAAAAATAGGCCTTCAAGGTCCGGGTGGAAGTCTACCACAAAGTCGCCCGTCGGCGTGTCCGTGTACCAGCAGATTCGCGTCTTGGCAAAGGGCCGGTCGACCAGCCCAGGCACAGGCACCATCTGCTGCAGGCCACGGCGCAGGTCGGCCTCGCCTTCCGCCGGAATGTTGAGCTGCGGGTTGTCGAGGTGTGTTAGCGGCTTGGACACGCCGGCTCCGACTTCAGGCGACGCCGGGTTGATGTACCCGTAGGAATGCCGCGCCACTTTCAGTTCGCCGCTCTCGGGCGCCGGCGGGATCACAAACAGGCCGGACGTTAGATTGAGCACGACAGGCATGGAGGCCACACGCGCATGCTCCTCTTCGTTCACCAGCGGCACGTACCCAAGCACCTGGCCCGTGGCAGCCAACGAGCCGGCCAACGACGTCCCGCCGACAAGAGACTCCGTCCAGGCGCCCGTTGCCGCAATGGTCAAGTCAGCCTTGAGCGTCCGGCCGTCCTCGAGGCGCACTCCTACGACTTTGGATCCCTCCGTCTGGATCTCGAGGGACGCTACCCGGCCGCGCACAAACTGAACGCGCCCGGCCGCCTGCACCCGCCGCAGGAACCAGGCCATGCTGGCCGCCGCGTCCGCCCAGCCGCTCGCGCCGTTCAGGTAGCCCCAGTCGCCCGTGGTGCCGCCCGTCCCGACAACGGCACGGATGGCCTCCGGGTTCGGTAGTTCTTTGAGCTTGGTGGCCAGGTACGCGTCTTTGGCAGCCAATGCCTGCACATTGGCCCAGCTCTCGCGCACGTAGTCCATACCGGACTTTTTCTTGGGTCTCGACGGGTCCTGCTCTTTCTGGGCAGCAGCATCGTCCGGTGCGTCGGCCACTACCACGAGTCCGCTTTCTGTGTACCGCCCACCACCGCCAATGTAATCGTCCTCGCTCTCATCTCCTGCACCAACAGTGCCTGGGCCCGGCCGCCTACTTCCCCGCCAGTAGGCCTGCGCCTCGTCGGCCAGTGCCGCATACGCAGGGTCAGCGTAGTCGGCGCGGATGATGCGCGACGTGTCGATGCTGGCGGCGTCGCGGGCCGGGAAATGCTTGGTGTCGTCCTCGCCTCCCACGTCGCCCGACCCGCGGTCCACCACGGTAATGGTCGTGCGGGCAAACTCGGGCCGCCGGCTGAGCGCCTCAGCTGTGCTGAGGCCAAAGACGCCACTGCCCAGGATCAGGATGGACGTAGGTGGTGAGAATGTCATTTTAAGGGCGTGCGTTTGTGGTGAAGGTTCGACAATAAGTGGGCCAGTTTTTGCAGCTTCGTCGTTTGTTCTTTCGACAATTCCGTCGTCTACGTGTTGAACGTGGACCGACGTCGTCTTTTATAGCTATATCCGTAGAGACGTGTCACAGATGAACCATACTCCACTATTTCAACTCCTCTGCTGAGACAGTATCGTCGGCCGTCGATATCGGCAGCCAATGTCCAAATAAATGCGAAGAAATCGTTCCTTCCCTCTTAACCGATGCCCACAATTGGTGTAAAATGGTGCAGGTAGTAGACTCCCCACTGTAGACGATCGTGACTGCCGTGTCTCTGGCCGTCGCTAGCCGTGGGGGGACCCACGCCCACGCCCACGCCCAGGCACTGGAACCATCCCAGCGCTCTTTCCCAGAGCTCACAAGGCTGGTTCACAGCGAGACGGCAGGCACACGAAATTTGTGGAGCCTCCCTAAAACAACGAATCGCGATTTCGCAACGAGCACAAATAGCTTCAATCAAAGACAGCATTCACGACAGCATACGACAGCCACGCCAACGTACACCACGATGCACCATTTATTATAACGACTCCCACCTCAATGGAAATGACAGTGAACAGCAGTGCGTCTGCAAGACCCACATGACGCGCTCCCGACCAGTGTCGTATCCCCCAACCAGACGAGCACGATGTCGTATAACAACAATGACAACAGCAATGGTGGCTTCAACGTCCGCTTCCCAGCAAAGCAGCCCGCCAAAAAGTCCATCTTTGAACGCCAGCGCGCCGAAGCGGAGACCAAACGCAAGCGGGAAGCGGCTGAGACGGCTGCCGTATACGAGGACTTTGTCAAGAGCTTCGACGATGGCGGCAGCGCGCCAGCGACGTCTGAACCGAAGCAGCAGCAGCACAGACAACAGCCCTTCTCGACCTCTCTACACCAACCCAAGGGTGGATCGACTGCCGGTGCGACAGGCGGCCGCAGGCACTTTAGCATACCTGCGTCCGCACACGGAGGCATTCGACATAGCGGTCCAGGCAACAACAGACCCCGCGATGGACGGCCGGGCCGACTGAGCGATGTACGCACCCGGCTTGCCTTTGGTGACGACGATGATGGCGATGACGACGACACCGTCGACCGCGAGAATGGCGACAGAACAAGAGGCAGGGACAATGACGAAGAAGGCCAGGTCGTGGAGGACGACGGGCCTCGAAACTTGACGTCGGGTGCCATCGATCGAGCGGAAGAAAAGGCCGCTTCAAAACCGACCATGCGTCTCGCCAACATGCCGCCCGCCACCTCACCCGCAGCCATCAAGGCCCTCGTGGTCGGCAGCAGCCGTCTGACCGTCGACAACGTCCGCATTCTCCCTTCGAGCGGCACGGCATCGACCGACCGTAAGTCGGTAGCCGCTATTGTCACGCTCGCGGCCGAGACGGCGGCCAGCGACATCGATGCCGCCGTCAGTGCCATGCAGAACCGCTACCTGGGCTTTGGCTACTATCTCACCCTGCACCGACACCTCTCTTCGGCCGTGGTGGCAGCATCGTCGACATCCATGGCAACAGGAAGCAGCGCTTCTGCGCAGCCTTTTGGTGCTCGGCCTGTCTCTCCGGTGTCAAAAACCGACAATGCTCCTTCTACGGGATTTGCGCCGCCCGGGTTTTCCCAGGGCGGCGGGCGCTCCTTCCAGGGTGGCCGTGGCATGGGCATCCCGCCACCCGCTACATACAACAGTCCAGGCACCGCTGGTGGCATTGCCCATCGCGAGGGCATTCTCCACGTGCCCGTGCGCGCGCCGCGTGATATCAAGAAGCTACGCATGATCCACAAGGTCATTGAACAGGTGCTTGACCAGGGTCCCGCGTTCGAGGCCTTGTTGATGAGCCGCCCCGAAGTGCAGCTTCAAGAGAAGTGGGCCTGGCTGTGGGATGCCCGGTGCGAGGCCGGCGTTTGGTACCGCTACCGACTGTGGGAGACCGTCACGGGACTCGGGGCGCAGCATGAGAAATCCAAAGGCCACGCCAAAGGCGGCAAATATGTGCCCCTCTTTGAAGGTGGCCACGCCTGGAAGACGCCAGACAACCCGCTGCCATACGAGTTTGACACGAGTCTGGCCGAGCTGGTCAGCGATTCGGACTACGTCTCGTCCGATGACTCGGACGCCGAAGGAGCGGAAAACACAACAGCAGCGGCTGCGGCGACGGACGACGACCAGGAGACGTTTTTGAACCCCCTTGAAAAAGCACGCCTGACCCATTTGCTGGCGCGTCTGCCAACAACCCTGTCCAAGCTGCGCAAGGGTGACATCGCCCGCGTCACGGCCTTTGCTATTACCCACGCCAGCCGCGGTGCCAACGAGATTGTCGACCTGATCGTCGCCAATGTTGAGCGGCCTCTGGCCTACACGGCCGCCAACCCAGATTACCGGGGGAAGCAGGTGGATGAGCATGCCCATGCCGACGGTGGAGGCGATGCTCTTGCCGAGGCTGACACCACTACCGACACCGACACCAGCAGCGCCCAACTCATCGCCGTCTACGTCGTCAGCGACATCTTGTCGTCCTCCGCCACCAGCGGCATCCGGCATGCCTGGCGCTTTCGCCAGCTCTTTGATGCCGCACTGCACCGCCGCAATGTTTTTGCCCTGCTTGGTCGCCTCGCCAACAAGTTCGGCTGGGGGAGGATGCGCGCCGAAAAGTGGAAGCGCAGCATCGGGCTTGTGCTCGGCCATTGGGAGGGCTGGTCCGTCTTTTCCGCCGAAACCCAAGCCTTCTTGGTGTCGAGCTTTGAGAATCCGCCGTCGGTCGGGAAGAGCGGCGACAACGACGGCGACGAATTCCCACCAGCAGCAGCCGATACGACGACTGGATCCACCAAGAAGAGTCGATGGAAGACGGTCGAGACGACAGCTTCAGCGCCCACAGCCGATGGGCCAGCGGCATCAGGATTTCGTATCGTGGATAACACGAGCGCGAGCAGTGCTGCAGACGGAGGCCAGATGGTCGTCGATAGTGAGCATGACACCAGCGGAAAGGAGGGCGCCACTACCGCTGTCACCGCCTACAACACGGACAATAACGACGACGACGACGAATGGGCCTATCGCTCCGACTACACCGACGACGAGGCACTTGACTTGGCTTGCATGGATGACGAGGACATTGATGGCGAGCCTATGGGAGACATTGGGGAGACGCATCTGCACGGCATCCCTCTGACTATGGAAGAAATTCGAGCTCTCGTGGACGACCTGGACGACGAGATGAGCGAAGAGGGCGAGATTGCGACTGACGATGACGGCGACGAGGACAAGGACGATGACTACGAAGCCTACGGCATATCTGATCGGTCAAGTGGTAGTGGTAGTGAGAACGCCTACAGCAACGACAACGACAACGACAACGATGGCGGTCAGCGTGGCCACTCACGCGACATTGCAATGCACGATGTGCCTCATGCACAAGGAACGGCGGCATTGCCGGCGGCGGCAGCTGCGACCACGTCCATCGAGGAACGCGACCTGCCTCGGACACGCCAAGAACGCCAAGAACACCAAGAACACCTAGAACACCTAGAACACCTAGAACACCAAGAACACCAGGAACACCAAGAACAGCCAGGAAAACGAGAACCACCCGCAGACACTGTGCATCCAACTGAGATCACCAGTGTGTCCTCGGCCCTTCCCGGACCATCAGCCAGACGGGCCTCATCCGTGCAGACCGCGCAACCGACCAGCACCGTCCACATGCAGGTCGGCTCGTCGTCGACCGCTTCATCGACTTTCCCGCCGCGCAAACGCATGCGAGCCGCCGATATGTTTGACGATTCGGGCGACGAAGGCCAGTCATAGAGGAGACGGCGCTCCAGGGAACAGAGCTGCCCCTTGTTGACCTTGTTGACCTTGTTGACCTTGTGCAACACAGAACAGCGCGTGGCGGTCTTGACTAGACCAGGAGAGGCAGGCCACCGAATCGAAGGCCGAGAGGAGGCCGAGAGGGCAACTAGGGCTAGCCGAAGGAGAAGGTGACAATATGAAAAGAGAGTAAACAGAGAGGCGATATGGAAAGCGACACGAAGAGAGACAAGGAGAACAAAGGGGGTGTGGGTGGGTGGGAGTACACCTCTCCTTTATTTGTCTTTTCGGTTATCTTTTGGTGTGACAACAACCTCCTTTTTTTACTTTTACTGTGAGACAAAAAGCAAATACATTATGATACCCCAGTTTTTTGTTTATTTTTTATGTTTTTTAATAGCGACCACATCCGAGCAAAACAGAGTGGGCGAGCAAGGGGGGGTTGCACTGCTGGCGAGGCCGTCGGGGTTGTTGAAGCGACGATGACGTCGTGATACCATGCTGTCTCAAACTCAAACATAGTATGCGGCTTTTGTTGACTTTCTTTGATCGCCTTTTGTGGATTTCACCCGTTCTTCAGCTCTCTTCCCCGCCATTTCCCACTATCCAATATCACTCGCACCTCGTGTCGCCTGGCCTCTTCCTCTTCTCTTCTCTCGTTCCCTTCGTTTCTGGGCCCACTTTGTCTTTCCAAGTTCCTCCTCCACTTCTCCTTGTTCGATCTTGCAGCAAGATATTACAGGTGGCACAAGATGTGCGGCAAAGCAGGAGGAATAAACAGGGAAGGATGAGGAGGGCCTATTGAAAGAGGGGGTGAAGGGATAGACCAATGTGTCAAGGGAATGCATCCAAAGGACCGCGAACAAGGGCCGACCAACGGCAGGCCAGAGAAGGCGGGAAGACCAGGATGCCAACGAACCAACGGACCGGTTCGTTGGGTGGCCCATCTCTGCTTGCCTCTTACATCGCTTGCCCCGGCCATCACCATATTGTCCTTTCCTCAGGACGGTAGGCGCGGTACAAAACTACAGGGCTGGGGGAGGGGATGATGAACAAGTCGACAGGCCGTGTGTTGTCATCGGGAGCGGCGACCCAGTCAAGTCTTTCGCGTCTCCGTGGAGAGTGCCAGACATGAAA